TTTCTAACTTCATTTCCTAATTTTTTCATACTTTCAATTTTGTCTGAACCATTTGAGATTTCTGAGTGCACCAGCGTTCACTCCACCTCTGTTCCTCTGCTGATGCTTGTTTATTCACCTGAAATCCTTGTACCCTCCTATATTTCTAGGACTTAGAAAGCTCTACCTGTCCTCCCAAGTTAAGCTGCATCCTTCATATATATGTTGACTTTCTTGATCCTTTTCCTCTGAGGTATTCTCTTTCTCTTACCTTTAAATTATTTTGTTCACATTTCTCATATGACACTGAAGATATGTCCTCTGTTATGTATGAACATATATATTACCTCTAAACTGTTAACTTCTTGGTATAGGATCTGTTTCTTACTCATTTTTATAGCCATGTGCCATCTCATATGTAACTAAACATTTATTTAAAAAGGGTAAGTTGCTCTTTCTTCTAAGTTTCTTCTCCATAATACTGTTTATGAATATTACAACTTAATTAAAAGGCATAAATGAAAATTATAAAATGTTTACAAAAGTAGCACATGAATAAACCAATGCTTACTATTTTCTTGTGCCTCCAAAATGTGTTCTTAAGAGAAGGTAAGGAATGTAATTTATATCTTAACTTTTGGGTCAACTGTTTTATCCTGATACACCAATCCATTCTTTTCCAGAACCAAAATTTACTACCTTACCAGATATCCTTTACTGGCAACTCAGTCCACTAAATTGGCATTGGACAATAGCGATATATCAGCCTTCTGAATTTTTTCTCATCATACATTTGAAAGAAAATTATGAGTCCCTTACGCTTGATACATTTTTATCTTCAAAATAGTAAGCCTTTTATGGAAATCGCCAAGTTATTTTTCACTGAGATGTCTTTATGGCATCTGTGTTTGTTCTTCTTTATTTATTGACATACAACAATTAGAAGTTAAAAATGTATGCAACAAGGGAAAAAGTTTAACCCCATAATATTATGAAGGAAGGGCTTTTTACTTAACCCCCTCTATCCCATCGGCTCAGTTCCCACCCAAGGGATCATACTAGCTCAAAGAAAGCTTGAGCATATTTGCAGTAATATATTTCTTAACAGTTTGACCCATACACTTCCTTGATAAACATAAATACCATCACCTTAGATGTGTATGCTTTTAATAGCAAAATATAGGATCTAAATTTTGAATAATCTCATTGCCTAAGAAAATTTTTAGCAACCTTGCATTCAAAAATGTATGTGATATGATGGAAAAACCAACCAATATATTTTTGGTTGCTCTAGTCAACCCAGGCATTCATTCATGCTTCCTACTGTACTCTCCACACCCCTGTTGAGGATCACTGCTCTTCTAAAAAACAAAACAAACCAAACATGCTTTTTCCTTATCTAGGTAAAGGATAAGTGATTTATTACTACCACTCATTTTTCCAGTAGTAGTGAAGGGAGGCATGAGCTATGATCTGTGATCTAAGATCTCTTTCTCCCAGTCCCCTCTGGGCTTGAGGGCAACCAATTGTAAAACAAGAAGTGCAATCTAAGACCACAGCATGGAGTGAGGAACAGCCCAACTGACACCTGAATTAAATCTGCAACCTCTGTTTTTGACCGACTGTGCTTGTACCTCAGGTGTTAAACATCTCGGGAGCACAACATGGAAAAACTCAAGATAATACATTTGTTAACTATTAAGAGAAAAACCACCCGCAAATGTAAAATATGATTCAGCCCTTGGAAACAGTATTGGGACAGGAGAGACTATCTCCCTTGAGCATGAAAGCCCAGAGGACAATTATGGCAAAAACCTGGAATCTGAGAGCTTATTCTCCTGCTTCAGCATTTTCTTTTTGCTCTCAACTAGATTTGCACATCAGTTTTTTATGAAAACATTTTTGGAGCGTCTACTTTCACAACAGTCATTTTTAGATCTCTCTTTCCTTGGTATTATAGATAAAAGGTTAGGTAAATGGGCCATATTTCTATGCCTACAGCTCAAATACAGAAAGAAAAATTATTAACCTTAACTTGTAAAGAGAGGTATTTCAATATATGGGCCTTCAAGTCCTGTTTAATTATAGAATACAATTACCCATTTACCCAAGTACCACTCCCTCATCACCTAGGACCCAAGATGGGGATTTTTAAAAATAAAAGTTCCCTTCTAATGAGGAGTTTGAGTCTCTCTCTCTCTCTCTCTCTCTCTCTCTCTCTCTCTCTCTCTCTCTCGCACCCCTCAGTTTTTGGCAAGCAAGTTGAGCTAAAACTTAATCTATTAAGTATTTCCTTTCTTCTGAGCTTCTCTCCAAGTCTGATACCAGTCCCAGAGGCTGTGTCATTCCAAGCCTGGCACAATGGCATGGTGATTGCTTGAGGCCTCTCCATTGTAACCCAAGGGTGGAACCTTAAGCCCTGCCTGTTACATCCTGCCCATGTTCTCTTCCCGTCCAGACCCTTCCCTGTTCATTAACAGCTTCCCAAAATCCAGCTCTGCTTGGGGAGAAGGAACTGGAAATTTGTGGAAAATGGTGTACAGAAGAATAATGTTCTTATATTATTTTTGAGTTATCAACACATAGACGTTACTTGCAAATAACATTTAAAAATATTTGAAGTCTGAGAATGGGTTATAGTTTTAAAACAATTTTGACTCTCATGGTTAGTCACATTCCTTTTTATTATTTTTTTTTCTGACATTCTGTTTTTATTTCAGTAAGGTAACAACATCATTTGTCTTTCCTATCACAGGTGGCTCCATTACTCAAGGTTTATTATTTTCTTAAGTATACCAACCTGCTTCCAGACATCCATCACATGTCCATGTCCTCTACAATTAGTGCATGCCTTTTCCTTCTTAATTTGCCCAATTTTTAGTAATTCTTCTGTGATAATAGTAGATGGTGGTTGTTTTCCATATTGACAATTACTAATAAACATTACTTTAAGGTGAGTCCCAAAACGTTATAACTTTGTATTAAGTTTCAGGATTCTCAGGGCCATGAGCTCCCAGGCATTTCATATACTAAAATGTAAAACTGCATTTTTACAGAGGACTAAACATAACCTTACACAGAAAAGAATGGAATGGAAATTGAGCCACAAAGATAATGCATAGTACACAGACTGCAGAAGGGTATGCCTAAATAATGAGTAGTACAGAGATTGGCAGAAGGATATGACATTCATAGTGGCAATATACAAAAAGGTGCAGGAAAGAGAGAAATTCAGCCATATTTTCCATAGATGTTTTCTATGTACACTAGTAGCATTCCAACAGAAAGCAAATGACAGCTACCTTTTGAGCAGCTGACGATACATTTACCTCAAGTTTTTAAAAACTCAAACCCATGTAAATGTATTTTCTTCCATCATAAGGATGTAATACTCTCACATACAACATGACTCTTTGCCTCCATAAAAGGCAGTAATTCCTTCAGATAGCATCTAATCACAGCATTTACACAGTTTTATCCTTTCAGGAGAAATAATAATTTCTTTCACATCAACTTTATACTTTTTTTTATAGCTATCTTTAAGCCAAATTTGCTTCTACACCATTATACTCAGACACACATAGTCAAATTCCAGCCTGCTTATACACACTGGTCATGAAATAGCTCGTGAACAAACACAAAGTCAGATATGATATGACCGACAGATTTATTTTTTAATGGTTAAAGCTGAACCGCAATGGATCAAATAGAAACAAGATAATCTTAAAAGGTACTTCTATTTTTTTTAATTGTTTGGTAACATTTCCAGCTAACTTCCAATATTAAAGTAAAACAAGAAACTCAAGTTTCTCCACTGAAGACAAGCAAGCCCGCTGAATGTTTTAATGGAAAATAGGCACTTCCTTTTCCTTCATTAGATAACTTGATATTTCCCCTGTTATATTTACACAGTTCAGGTGTCTAGACAATAGCAGGGTCAATATGACAGCACCGGCTCTGCTTTGCTGTCCTTTGCTAGATTCTCCCCTTTCCTGTTGCCGTCTACACCAGAATACTATACATTTTATTTTCAATTTTAAGGAGCTCAATTTGAGTACCCCAGTCTACTTTTCCAAGCATTCGCCTGCAAGCATTTTCATCCGAAACACTGAACTCGCTCTCTCCACACTGCACTCCCCACCACCAATGTGATTAGTGTCAACACAGCTGCTCTATTCTGAGGAATGTAAACTAATATTGTTGTTAGACCTCCCTCAACCTTAGAAAACTTCCTCAAAGCCTTACAGCCTCTTCAGGAGTTTTTTTCTTATACCTTCGCCCAGTGATTTAAATCCCTGAGACAAACGTTGACGAGAGATCAGAGAGGCAGATCATTAATTCATTAAATAAAATCCTATACACTATAATACACATTTATTTGTCTGCACATGTACATATTTAATAACACATCACTCCAAAATAACTTTGTCATTACACAGTGAAAGTCTAAGTCCATCACCAGACAATAGCGTAATGATTGAAGTCTCCTCAGGGTTTAGGTGGGTCTCTGGATTGATAACATTCAAAACAAAGATGGCTTTAAAAATCTCACCTGTTTACTTTGAAAAAATAAAAAAAAAGTTTCATTTGCTTTTAGGATGAAGTCTGGAGATAAAACTGAGAACTTAACTGAGTTGAGACACAATCAACTAATACGTCTTATTGATATGTGAACACCCAACAGAGGAGTCATTTCAATGTATCTAGCAGAATGTGACCTGTTCGCGTAGTCTGTTCCTATAAAGAGTGATTTTACAAACTCCTGAATATTAGGTTTTTCAAATATAACACCACCCAGAAATTATTCTTTCCCCCTTTCTCCTACTTTTTCATATTCTACTTAAAGAATAAAAATCTTACAGTCACCACAGAAAACATTAACCAAGAAAAGGAGATTCCTATATACAATTTATAAAAACATTCTATTCGGTAAATGAGAACCACAAATATATAAGCTTGCATTTAAAAAATAAAAATGAAAAAGCATCTCTAGATGAAGAACTGAAATCTAAAATCCTTACCTCACTAAATTGAGTCTGGGCATTGTTTTCCAGGTACAACATGTTAGCTGTAAGATTGATCAATGCCGCTGTCCTCTCTTCTGGCTCCAGGATTTTGCCAACCCCCCCACCCCCTCTAGGACCCTTACAATAGGAATCTACTAAGAAGATAACAGAACTCAAGTCCCTCTCTCTCTCCTTCTCTCTCTGTACATAATTTTAGGTTCCCTAATATATACTCAACTATAGGCATGAGGAGGCGGGACTCTTCTCTTTACCTGTCCAATCCATCAACTTCCACCTGGACTCCTCCACTCCAATGGAGTGAGGCCTCTCCCATCTCATTAAGTAGTTAGAATTCCTTATCACCAATCTTTAAAGAAAAAGAAAGAAAGAGGAAAAAAAACACACACACAACAGGAGAGACAGACAGGTAAAACTTTCCCCTGTCTCTTTCACCAGAAAGTACACCCCCTCCTTAAAACAAAACCAAATCTCCCCAAACAAACCACAAAGCGTCCCACCACCAGGGCTTACAGAAGCATTTCAGAAAGTTATTTTACACTTTGCAACTGAAAAGTCAAACTTCAGGGAAAGCTTTCCGAAGGGGTTTTTGTTTTGTTTTGTTTTGTTTCCTGTTTCTTTTTCGTTGTTGTTGTTGTTGTTTTAGACATAGATGTGGAGTTTCAAAAATGATTACACAAAGTTAGCAATGAGTGAAAAATTCTCAAAGCCATAGTCATATTTCCTAGCACAAAGATTAAAATCCACTGCCTGATAGCTAAAAATTTGTAAACTCTTTCTCCCCAGAGAAATGCCAGTGGTTTCATACAAAACTATGCCAACACAAGCCACTTGATTTTTCAGAGCATGGTCCCGTTAACTTGTAAAAACAAACAAACATCCATATTATATGCAGGAAATAGAAATCCTGGGAAACGTGCCCATTTTTTTGAAAGTCCTTAAAAAAAACAAAACACCTGCTTCTTTCTATCATTCTTTCTGAAGACATGAATCAATCAATACAATAGCTTATGTATTTGAATATTTATTTTCTCTATTATATTTAGTTTTTATTAATGTTCAAAGAGAATACCTTTTTATAAACAGGAAAAAAATTACTAATAGAGAGACTATTATAGTGTGAGAGACAAATTAGCTTTTGCCTTAAAACATATTTCTATAAATACATAAGAACATTCATGTAGAATCTGGCTTTGGTTAACCATGATTTAGTGGGGATGAAATGCACCCTGATGGTTATAGTGTGAATCACTAAAATACTCTCAGTACTGCTGAGTATTCTACATAATTCAGATAGATTTATATCTAATCATCATTCTCCACCCCAACTGGGGAAGCCAATTTCCCGTGTCCTGCTGAAAAGTTAAATCTGGCCAATGTATATTTAAGTGAATATTTAGATTTCTTCTAAAAATTGCAATATAAGAAGATTAGAAAAAAATCATAATTGATTGGTATATAAACTTTAGGAATAAAATTTTCCAATATATTTATGAACTTGGATTTGCCTTCTCTCTACTTTTCCTTTCAATACAAAGGATGCATATAAAGAATTATATGATCTTTGGGGTGATAGTTATTTTAAAGCCTCTGAATTCCTAGTAAGAATGTTCCTTTTTTTTTTTTCAAAAAGAATTCAGTAATATCATTTGATCTCAAGTATTCAAGAATAGGACAACATTCTGTAACACTACAAGTTTATATCGGAGATAATGTTTGTTTTCTCACTGAAGTATTGGTACGATGACCTCTTACTACCTGTAATTAACGAAATAAGCACTGACTACAAGGAAAAAAAAAAGAAAGAAATTACTTACAAAATGCAGTATAATTATTTGTACCATGTATTTAACTTCTACAACTACTGACAGCTTCAGGGTCAATAGTAGAAAGCAGATGGTTGCTTCCTTAGACCTGTGCTGAATTCCAGTGGTTCAAAAACTTGGGTGACCTAGAGAGTCATCAAAGGTGCTTTTTAAAAACAGATTTCTGGATTTGTCCCCAAAATTCTCAGATCCGTCTTTCCAGGAATGTGGCCCTTATGTGTATATTTTATACACCCTCTAGGCAGTCCTAAAGGAATCAGGCTTGGGAATCAGTGCTCTAAAGTAAACACCATTGGTTAGTACAATTGCCCAGAAAGTCATTATTGGATTCTTTTTTACAGGAGTGGGATATTGTCACCATTTGAGCCCCTAAATCTAGGGTTCAGAGTTTCAATTTTTGGTGGTGTTTTATCAAAATGTAAACAAATTTAATCTTTCACAAACTCAAAAATTTCCATCAGGATTTTTAAAAAATATGTTTTTATTGATTTTTTTAAGAGAGAGAGGAAGAGGGATAGAAAGATAAAAAACATTGATGAGAGAGGAACTCATTAATCTGCTGCCTCCTGCATGACCCCCCAATAAGGATCCAGCCCGCAACCCAGGCATGTGCCCTGAGTGGGAATCGAACTGGCCACCTCTTGGTTCCTGGGTTGATGCTTAACCACTGAGCAAAACTGGTCAGGCTTCCATCAGGATTTAATGTACTGAAGAGTCAAATTTCATCTATCTACCATCTCAGTCTTTAGTGCTATCAAGTCTGACTATGGTCTCTACCTAATATATCTACCAAGATTCTGGATAAAATCTAAGACCTACATATCTTATGTAAAAGATATACCTCTCATGACTGCTTTGGGTAGTTGAGGGAATAGCCTGGGATTACAGGAGTAAGTAGGAAACACAGGCTCTGTTCCCAGCTCCGCTTTTAGTTAGCTCCGTGCCCTTGGGGCAGGTTACTTAACCACTCTGGATTCAGGTTCCTTGTTTGTGAAATAAGGAGCAGAACTAAATGATTTCTAAAGAGCATTACAAAGATAGAGTCTCTATGCAGATTTCACAGAAATGATTTGAGAGGATTATTCATATTTTTTCTTATTTTACTTGAATATTTGTATCTTGATTTGCTCATCTCTGAACTGCATAATTGAAGCAGTCAAGTTAGCTGAACAGACACTGAAATATTTAAATAACATAAAGGAACAGTTAAAATGTATTTGGGAGAAATTAGTGTGTTTTGCCTCACAACAAAAACATTAGCTAATAATGCATTTGAATTTAGCACAAACATTTCCATAAAAGAGCTCATTAAAGTCTATCTGATAACATTTAATTTCAGAATTAGTGTGAATACCTGATGTAAATACCATACATTTATTTAAGCAGGAGGTTATTTACTGCACTTGCCATAAAGCAATGCTTATCCTGGGATCTCAAAGATTTAGTAATGTGTATTAATTTTGTTAACAACCTAGTTATGTAGTAAGTATTATTATCCCCATTCTTCAGGTAATTAAACTCAAAAACTTTAAGTGGGTTTCCCAAGCTCTCAGGAGTCAGAACAACTCTACCTAGAGCTCACAAATTTCTATTCTCAGCCATTTCCCTCAGATTTTTAAAGCTTCATGCCTGCTGGATGAAGATGCCATTGTTATAAATCCAGTGTGTTGGCAGAAGTCTTCTAAGATGCGGGGATAATATATGCTTTCCTGAAATAATACTGTTAACATTTTGTTGAACGTCCTTCTTAAAATTTATTTGTGGGAGAGCTTTTTGTACATTAAATATATTAACCCTTTATCATAAGTACTGCAGGTATTTTTTGTCAGGTTCAGTAATAAATAACCTGGTCCCTATAGAACTCTGGAAAGTAAAACCTGGAAGCATTTTGTGCTTCTGGGTGTATGTCTGTATTCAGTGTTTGGGGGTAGATGTAGAGAGTAGGGAAATGCTCAGGTTTTAGGAAGTCACAGAATGCAGTACATGTTTTAGTGGGTTCCCTCAGGAAGACCTTAATTATATTATATTAAGAGAAAAAAGAAGTTAGCATAAAGTTGGGTAAATTTGGCTAGGATTGGATGGTCATTTATTTAAGTAAGCAAAGGTTATTTTTACAGCAGCAGTTGAGACTCCAAGAAAGATTTTATATATTTATATATATATATGTAAATATGTTGATTTCAGAGAGGAAGAGAAAGGGAGAGAGAGAGAGATAGAAACATCAATGATGAGAGAGAATTGGCCGCCTTATGTACACCCCTTATTAGGGACCGAGCACGCAACCCAGGCATGTGCCCTTAACTGGAATTGAACCCAGGACCATTCAGTCTGCAGGCTTGACACTCTATCCACTGAGTCAAACAAGTTAGGGCCAAGAAAGAATTTGTACCTAGTTCTAAACATATCAATCCTTTTAAATTTACCTGAGTGAGAAAGAACTAGAGCTATCCAGCACTGCCTCCACTTTTTCCCTTCCCAGTTAGTGCCCCCTTACCATCACTTTATCTTCCCTAAATGGCTCTAATGGTGTCCTTGCTCAGGCTACCTCAATGCCTATGGAAGAAAACCAAGTATTTCAACACATACTCAAGACCCTTTAGAGTCTGTTCCCAAGCTCCCTCTCAGCCTCACATATATTCCACTCTGCTTGCCACATTCTGGCCCCTGATGACCACTTCTGCCCCTCTGCTCAATCTGGCCCCTTAGTTTAAAATGCTTTCGCTCTTTTTGCCTGATAAATTGAAAACATTTTCTAAATGCCACCTTCATGAGGAGTTCTCCAATACTGTAGTTGAAGTTCAATCTTCTCTTTTATGAATTATTTAAGAAATAATTAATACTATCTTACAATGCAAAAACTGGTATACTTCTCTGTCTTCCCCACTAGTCTATGAACTTTGAAGGTCAGACTGCATTTCTATTCAAGATATCTCATTTTGTGTCTAAAAGCTTGAAGAGTTCAATTGAGCAGTTTAATGCTATAAGAAAGAACTAGAAAGTTGAGCAGTAGATTCCTTACTCAAAGTTTCTGTTGTGACACAGAAGCCTTTTCTATAGGAATCAAAGCACAGTATCTAATTGAAGTAAGAGGAAAAAATGATGCTTTCAATCCAACACAGTACCTCAAACCCTCAGTAATTATTTGTCAAAAAGGAAAATTGTCAGTATGACAAACATGCCATTAGTAAAAAAAAAAAAAAAAAAAAAAAAAAAAAGATTTGACTTTTTTTTTTTTTTTTTTTTTTTAAATATACTTTATTGATTTTTTACAGAGAGGAAGGGAGAGAGATAGAGAGTTAGAAACATCGATGAGAGAGAAACATCGATCAGCTGCCTCCTGCACATCTCCAACTGGGG